AACCCGGTGGCCAAGACGAAAAGCTTCGTGGGCTGTCAGGTGATGGCGTTTTTCATGCACTACTTCATGCTGGCCACCCTCAGCTGGTTTGCTGCTCAGGCCTTCCACATCTGTCTGCATCTGTACAATGGGGGCCTGATTCTGATCCGACACTACATCATCGCAGTTTCTGCTACCACCTGGCGTGAGTACTTCACTGTTTTCTCATTCGGAAACAAAAGAGCAGTGGCGCCTCTAGAAATTTATTAATGGGGGCACCATGCGGGGGGGGGACTGAAAATCCTGGGGTGGCACACTAAAGCTAAAAGCCTGAACAGAATTTCAGAAATGTTATTAGGAATCACAAACTGATGCATCTCAGTTTATTTCTGTTCTGTAGACGACGTCTGTTGTGACTTGGCGCTAGATAAATAAACTGAATTTACATTTTAAAGCTAATTTTACTGATTCTGTGCAGAGAGCAGAGCATATATATGCTGCAGTCCAGGTCTTTACAAACACATTAAATGCCATAAGTGGTCCTTGCATTAAGCTTTTTGTCCATTTCCCTAAAAAGGTCAAATGTACATCTTTAATTTGAAGGGGTATGTTGAACAAAGTATTCACTAAAAACACGCTTTCTCAAGTTTAAAGCCATCACGTCTATCGGTAATTATTTTTTAAACCATTATTTGCTTCTTGCTCTTTTATTTGTGAACAAACAAGGGGTATTATATCTAAAACTGGTCTTAACAAGCCATAAAAGCGACATTTATATTTATAAAACATTCTATAACCTCTTAAGACCCTGGATCATAATGGTGAGGAAATGTAATTTTAGAGGGAGGCTAGAAGTTTTATTTAAGTATTTTTTTATTTATGTTAAATATATATTCATATTTTTAATTCCTAATTAATCAAAAATAATGTTTGGTTTTAGGTTTATGGGGTTATACTAACCCTAAATATCAAGTGGAAATAAGAAATATACACCAAGCAAAAACTTGAGATTCAAGAGAATTGACAGGCCAAGGGGGCGTGGCCACGCAGTAACCCTCCCCTCTTGGTGGCACACCTGATAGACTCTGAAATGTTGTGTTTTTTATTGTATTTTCCAGTTTTTCCGGCTGTAGTTGCGATTGTTCTCGCCATTTTAGGCAAATATGGTGAACAGACCATCTATGCTGATAATCCCAAAGACAACGTCGACATGTGAGGCTGAAAATAACTCATCATACCTTCATGTTTACTTTTGAAATTCTGCAAAAGCTGATTCGTGTTCTTGTTTCAAGGTGTTGGATAAACGACAATAACGTTCACTACATTGTCAACATCGGCTACTATGCGCTGGTCTTCCTCTTCACCTTCTCCACGGTCATCATCAGTCTGTCCTGGATCTTTTGCCTCACAAGAACCAAAACCTCCAACGCAGGACAGAGCAATAACGGCAAAAGTATAGTTACCACCCTGGGCCTGTGCTGCCAGCTGGGTATCTCGTGGGGCTTCGCCTTTTTCGCCTACGGTGGCCTCCGGATTCCTTCCGCCTACATTTTCACAATCCTCAACTCCTTCCAAGGTATTAAACATACTCAGTCTGCAGATGATCCAGCTGTTGGAAAAATACATCTTAGAGCTACGTCTTATGTTGTGTAAACATGCAAATGTCTTAAACTCATACTTGAATCATTATGAAACAGTCTGTAAACATCTAAGAACTGAGACCAACTGCCAGTTTTTTTTTTTTTAAAGGAATGTTCTCATTTTTGTCTCGTAGTCGTTCAACGGTCCTGGCTCTATTTTAATAGATTGTTTTTAAGGAAAATAAAAGTTTTCAGACTCTTCTACAAGGACGTCACACTGTTGTGTTGGATGCAGTCTGTGCTTTAGCACTGTCTTGCTGAAATATGCAAGATCTTCCCTGGAAAAAAGAGTGGATGGATGCAATGTTCTTAAATCTAGAAATATACTTTTCTGTATTGATGGTGCTAGGCCTGTCGCGATAAACGATAAATAGATTTATCGCACGATAAATGAAAATTATCAACCTCATTTTCGTTTATCGGCTTAATCGTTTCTTCGTGTCTCTCTTTCTACTGAAGACACTGGATGACAAAAGGCTCAACTCAGGTGTTCTTCACTGACCCCTCCCTTTCTCTTTAAAATCCATTTTAATCGCCCAAAATCATGTTTGTGGATCGTTAAAAGCAGCTAAGCTGAGAAGCTAACCTACGAGCTAAGCTAACAGGCTGACCTCGGGGGAAAAAACCCCGGCTTGTCAAAGCTCCAAAATTCACTGTTGAAACCCGCGCCTTTGTCTAAAAAGTTTTTTTTTCTCTGCAAAAAGAAGCTGAGAACTTGTTTATTGATTTTTTAAATTTATTTATTAAAAGTTTTGTGTGAAAAATGCTATGCTAAAGAGCTCAAACGACAACGAGCGTCCGCCATTTTGAGAACTGAAAAACAGAAACGAGAGGCAGCCCATGTGTCAAGGGGCCTCCCTCCTCTTTTTCTTAAAGAGACACGCTGCTCGCTCCCTCACTATCCATCCTTCTGTTCAGTCTTTTACTGCCATCCAGTGGTCGAAAAAAGGTATTACACACAAAAATTAACCAACATTTCTTAAACAAATGTTATTCAAACATTCAAACAATGTTATCGTTTATCGCAATAATTTCTGAGACAATTAATCGCCCAGCAAAATTTGTTATCGTGACAGGCCTGGATGATGCCTTTCCAGATGTGTAAACTGACTTTGCCTTGGGTACTAATGCACCCCCATACTAGTTCAAATCAAGTTTATGGTCATTCGCATCACGTGGTACATGAGACAGAACGAATAAATTATGTACTCAGGGTCACAGTTACACCCAAAAATAGCAAAAATATAAAGTGTAAAAAGAAACGGTATATGATGATCTAAGTTATACGTTAAACAAACGTCAAACGGTATGCAAAAAGATCCAAGATACAAGCTAAACACTAATAATGTAAAACAATACGGTGTATCAACAGCAGCATGAACATGAGTCTGTGGTGAGCAGAAGGTATGAATACAGCAGCATAAGATCAGCAGCATGGATAATCAGCAGCACAGATAAGTCACATATCACCAATTAAAGTAGCATTACTATATATCTATATCTATATCTATATATTTAGTTAGAGATTCATGAGTCTAACAGCCTCAGGGTAGAAGCTGTTCCTCAGTCTAGTGGTTCTACACTTAATGCTCCTCAACCACCTGCTTGAGGGGAGTGGAGCAAAAAGTGTGTGCTGGGTGAGTGTGGTACTTCATGATGCAGGTGGCCCTCTTCCTGCATCTGGAGGTGTAAATGTCTGTGATGGTGGGGAGACTGACTCCAACATCTTCTGTGCAGCCTTCACCACTCTCTGCAAAGCTTTTCTTTCTGCAGCTGTGCAGCCTCCATGCCACACGTTGATGCTGGAGCACAGGGTGCTCTCCACTGCACACCTGTAGAAGGAGGTGAGGACTGAGCTTCCCAGTCCAGCTCGTCTCAGGACATAGTCACTGATGCGCTGCTACCATCAGACAGGCTTCTGAACTGTGTGCTGATAGTGAACTGGATGATTGCCCTTTAGTGGATGTGTGGATTCTAAAAAACACACGATTTTTGTCTGACCACTAAAGTTTCTCACTTCCATGTTAAAATGATCTTTGACCCAATGGGACAGCAGTGTTCATAAATGGTTTCTTTTAACATGGTAGAGCTTTAACCAGCATTTGTGGAAGGCACCAACTGTTTATAGGAAATGCGCTATGGGGCTGTTCCTGAGCTCATGCGTGATCTGCAGAACAGAACCAGATCTGTTTTTAATGCAGTGACCCCCGAGGGTCCAAGGATCATGACCCCCCCCATTATTAACTTTCATTCTTGGTCCTTGAGCTTTGATTTCTCCAGATTCTTTAAATATTTTGTTGAAATTAAGAACTGTAGATGGTGGGCTGTTTAAAATTAAAGTCATCCTAATTTCCATCCTCTTTAAAATTCTTTTTAGACTCAGTCTTCTTACTGAACTGTTGCAAATTTGTATAATTAGCTGTAAAATACACTCTTTTTTTTTTGTTGCCCTGATGCAAAGTTTTGAAATGTTGCTGCCATCAAATGCAACTTTTGTTTTTGTGCCCTTAATATAGTTAAATTTATTGATTTAAACATTTGATGTTTACAGTTTCTATTGAAAATTAAATTTGTGTTTAAGATTTGCACACTATTGCCCCAACTTCTTCAGAATTGGTCATTTGTGTATAAACCAGACATGTATTAACTTTATATTAACCACAGATAAACAGCTGTCAAGTTGTTGGACCTTTACAGGTTTTGTTCCAAAAAATTGGAATATTGTGAACTAGGTTATAGATGGATACTAAAAATATTATTTAAAAAAAGATAAATAAAAAGCAATGTCATTGCTTAACAATTAAACTAGTTTTAAAAATCGTAACTTATTTGACAAAAGCTAACGTTTCTGTCTTGTTGCCAGGTTTCTTCCTGTTCATCTATTACTACAACACAAGTCACTCAGGACAGAAAAATGTGAACGACGAGCCTCAGAGCTCCGGAACTGGAAACTGTGGTCTGGAGACGATCGCAAACCCCTACATGAACACACCCCATCCAAAACAAACCTAACATGGCAGCCGAGGCAGGAACTGAACGCAAACTATGTGATTTTGTTTAAAGTATTTGTTCACTCATATTTACTGAAGTTTTCAAATATAAATACTATGATTGCATGGACTTATTGCATTTTCATACAGTAAGAACCAGAAACGTGAAGTTCTATGTAATTTATTGAAGTAAAATATTTTTAAAGAGACACAAAAATACATTTCTTTAAAAACTGTTAAATGTTTTTAAGGGCTTGACTTTTGAACTGAAATGAATCGACTGTAATCGTGTTGAACAACCTGCAGTGTATATGTGTGTTAGTTTATATGGACATAAATACACAATTTATAAAGTATATTTTCTTTGTAAAAAGGCGTTTCTTGGACACTTTTACTGTAAAAGAGTTTCTGCTTCTTTTAGAGCGTTCTCCATTTCAGCCGCCTGCTGTGAGAAGCTCTCCTGTTCCCGCTTCATGACTTGTCGTGTTTTAGAGATGTCCTCCATCATTGTCTGGATTTCCTGAAAGTTGGAGAAAAACAAACAAACAAACAAACAAAAACAAACAAACGTGAAAATGAAGCATCAACTGCATCAAACAGGAACTGACAGTTCATTTCAGTTTATTGTCCCCTGTTGCAGACAGAAAAGGGGGAATTGGAAATAACCTGAATGGATGGACACAGGGTGTGAACTTGATTTATATCTATATATCTATATATATCTATATATATATATATATAGATATATAGATATCTATAT